GATTATGGCTCCCCCGATGACCTCTCTACAAGGGACACAATCATCGGTCTCATGGTGTCCCTTGTTCGGAGGTTCCACTGTATATTGCAATGAATACTGATACAAGAGCAGGGGAGGGTAGCGAAATAGAGAGGAAAATGGAGGTAAAACGAAATGGTAAATAGTGTAAACTTACATGTATATAAGGGACTGAAAGGTAGTTAGTGCATGTATGTACATGTATGTTTATACCTTCGAGGCTTTGCTTCCCATGTTAGCTTTCTACCATGACCCACCAGCTCCAACTTGTATCTTACGAGTAAAGAAAAGAAGAGAGGAAGAAAGGGTGCAAGTAAGGAGAGAAAAGAGAAAGAGAAAGTAATATTCAATCGCAACTTTGCACACCTACACACAAACCAACACACCTGAAAGCGTTGGCCTCTTTCTCCGTCCCTATCAACTGAACGACGGCGAAGAACTGCTGGTGTCCCTCGTGTCTCTCCTGTTTTTCCAGAACCAACATGAAGTAGTGGTCGAAACAGCATTGCATCATCACCCAGTCGACAGCCCCGGGCAGGTGAATGTCTGTCGCCAAGAACACAATGTCTTCTCCGCCAAGTGTTGTAATGGTCTTGTGAGTGGTGAGTAAGTGGTTAAGAACGTCGTCTAGTGGACCTTCCCACTTGCAAGAGGTGCATGGGCAAGGACAGGCGTACGGGCGACGTTCTTAAGAGTCCTTTTCAGAAAGGGCCTTTTTACAGGGTCTTTTTTCATTGTACACTAGGCCATCTGCAATACAATGCAGCTAGCTTCTCCATTCAAGAAAGGAAGTTTGGGAGAAAGTGAGAGAGAGAGTACCTCAGTTTATATAGGAAACTTGCTCTTAATGGAAGGACGCATTAGTGGATCTGTTAATGGGAGTTTCCACTGTATGACAATAGTGTAATGTCCATCCTCCACAGGTGACTACAGACAACACATGAGGAAGAAAGCAGACGGAAGTATAGAGTTTGCGAAAAAGGAATACGAAAAGAAATTATCGTCCAAGTCAATTAGAAGGGTGAGCGACTTAGCATTTTATATAGAACACAAATGTAGCCACCATTCTCAGCTAGAATGAGTCCTAACTTGCTAATACATAACATGCTTGTCACATGATTGTCACATGTTTTGTTGGCAGTTCCTGGAGGCGTTCCACATGACTCAGATGTTTAATAACTTTGTAGAGCAGCGAGAAAACCCTCTCAAATCAGAGATGACCTTGCAGAGTATGTGACCTCTCTTTCTGTCTCCTCCTATATATCACATTGTATGTATCTTACTCGTGCATACATTATGTGAAACCGACATTTCAAATACTGCACAAAGTGTCCTCTTCACTTTCCTCTAAACATTTTTTCTTCTGTCTCATCGTTGTTGGATTAGAGAGGGGTTCCACTGTATCATTAATCTTATGCTCTTCTCCATTTTTCTTTCAGGTACATTTGAGCGAAGCACCATTCATGTGATGAAGGACAGGTGCATGGAAATAGAAATGTGAGTAACATCACATGTTCTTTCACTATATGTATATACCAAAAGCTATGTGTAGCACAATAGAGCATTTTTACACAAATTTTGGGGAAAGTTCATGTAATGCTGTCTTTTTCAAACAGTTTCAGTTCGAAATCATCGATGGAGACTGAGAAAAAGGTAAGGATTTAATCCTACATAATATTTATTAGCAACCTTTTTTGTTTTGTTTCTGCAGGATTTAGTCCATGTGATGCAGACAATGTTGTTGATGTTTGTTTTTCGTTGTGGAATTTCTTTGTGTCGCGGGTGTTGTAGTAGTTTGTGTATAATATTATTATGTGCACTTGTACGAAGTATATCACACTATCTAATTATGCCAGATACTGAAGTGCAAACCGCGCACTGCGCATGCGCAGTACCTCTAAATTGAAGGTCTGGGTTATCACTATGCGTTACACTCATGGTCTCCACCCAAGTAGCTCGCGGAGAGTCTGACACGGGCTATAGCTACACTATTATAAGATAGAATGCCGGCGTCAATACACGCCTCCAAGGTATACACAGAATTGTGTGAGTGAGGTCTTCGGGAAAACTAGATATGGACCCATTATTGCTACAGAGGTTTTGAAGGCCTAAGCGGCTGATTCTCAATCGAGTTTTGAGGCTTTGAAATTTGACCCGAGCCATGATGCGAGAATCTTCGGCGACCAAGCGAGCGCGAGCAGTTGAATATTATTTCTCGCGTGTTATGCGCGTATAGATATATGTATATACAGCGCCCGATCCCCCGATCCGACACCGTTCGCGTTGCGCTCGATCAGATAGATCGCTGATTTTTTGCCGCGAGAGCGAGAGGCGGGGCGTTTCGCGCTTACTTCCTCAGTCGTTTTTCAATTGGCTCTGCTAATTACCCTCGGCACGCATGCGCAGCGAGGGTACGGTAGTTAACCCTCGGCGCGCATGCGCAACGAGGGTTACTGTAGTGTGTGTGTGTGTCTGTCTGTTACTCTCAATCTCACTTCTCGGGTGTTCGTTCATCTCACAAAGGATACGGCCTACTTAACGGGCAATGAAGGTCAGAAATTTCGAACGGTTTTCTCTGAAAATGCCCCGTTGCAAAGCTAGAGCGCGAAAAAGTCAATATGCAAACTTACCGCGGTCTGATCGATCAGCGTGCTCTGCGTACCTCGGAGGCACCAGAAGATGCAACGCAGGGCGTGTATCGCCTCTCGCATGCTATCTAGCGGTGTAGTTAGCCAGCGTCAGACTCTGCGCGAGTTGGCAAGTGACCACGAGTAACTAAACCCAGCCCATCAATTAGTGGTACGGCGCATGCGTTTACTTATGCGTGCGCGTCACAATGCGCCGGGGGTTTGCACTTCATATGTCACCGTACGTCGTCCAACTGCGCATGCTCCAGCATTACGCGCTTCTTTTTATCCGAAAGGGATTTCAACATTTTCATAATGCTGCCTGAATCGAGCGGAATCAGGGGAAACGCAACACCTCCGAAGCTATCGAGTATTGCTGCACAGCCCAGCGAGAGATTTTTCTACATTGCCACTTGTTCCCCATTCCTGCAAGACCAATCAGATTGCCGGATTATGCCTGATTCGCGCTGTCGTCTGACTGTTTTTTACTCGACTGGAATTGTCTACTGCGCTCGGGTCGTTTCGGCCTACTTGGTCCTGTGCAATGTATGTCACTGTTTTGTGCACACACAAGAGTGACTCATACGATTAGACCCCAATTGTAAGCGCGCTTCCGCTCGCCAAAAATGCCATGCATTCGCCTACTAGGCGATTTTCCTGAAACGACTGCGTTCCAGAGATATAGCGTGAAAACAAGCGAAAAAGCCAACGCGCGGTCGATCGCGCACGCGCCCTCTCCTGCAGGCTAGCTATATAGCTATATAGCGCGCACGCGTCATGTCTTGGTTGCATAATGTATATACGATCCACGGCCTCCTGTCAGTTTTGATCTCTGTTCCTTATGGATAAACGATAAACATGCTGAGCAAGGTATGTTCTCAATGTAGCATAATAGTTCAGGTGGCGAGCAGTTTGTGGTTGCGGCCTTGCCTTCCCATCTATAAAACGTCTGGCGAGAGCATTGAAACGCAGAAGAGCAGATAAAGTAAATATGAGACACCTGAGCTATTGCTAATGCAACTACCCTGTGTTACGGTGATACTCGTGTTACTGACTCCGTCGATGACGCACGGCCCAGCATACAGCGATCGCTAGTTTACCGCCGAGGGTTTGCACTTTAGTGCATTCTGTCTTACGCCTCCAAAGAGAGGAAAACCTCCCTATAAAAGACTGATTCCAACATCAGAGGAGCAGCACGTACTTACTTACGCATGTAACGGCGACACTGTCTTGCTTCACGAAAGGAAAGCTGTGCGCTGACGGCACGTTTTGCAGCCCGAACATCGCGGGCAAATCCCAAGTTGGGTCGCTCCCGCTCGCCAACAATGTTCAACATTCTTCATAATAAATAATTATAGAGAAAATGCCACTCAAAGAAACCACTAGCATAAACTTTGCTGTATCTTGTCTGCGAGGGCAAACAGTTCCGTGTCTCTGAGAGACTTGATGAGAGATTGCCATGTCACAGGTAGCCCCTTCCCCTCCAGCCATTCTCCAAGTATCATCTGAATAATCCTCTCTGGACTATCATGACATTCGTACCTAATACTTTCGACTCGTTTGCCTGTCATGTCATCTAGGAGCAGAACTCCAAATGTGAAGTACTTGGTACCAACTTCCGAAGGCACTTTAAGTTTGAGCAGTGTGGGTAGAGTAGGCTTTTCTCCTATTAAAAATGAAAAGCACTAAAGTGCACACCCTCGGCGAACTGCGCATGCGCTAGGCTATTGTATGCGTTAGCATGCGAGAGTCCATTCGTTGATGTGATTCCTGAGCCACAGAGCGAGCGGATCAGGTCGCGGTAAGCCCAGTGCGATTATGCAATTGGCTTTTTCGCTTGTTAACCCTCGGCGCGCATGCGCAGCGAGGGTTACGGTAGTTGTCCCGTAAGTGTGTCTGTCTGTCAGTCTGTCTGTTACCACGTTTTCTGCCACCGCGCGCACGAAATCAGGTAAATAACGATATGATCGGGTTCAGTGCTACACTGGGTTGATTTTAAAAAAGGCGATTTTCGTAAAACTACTGTGTTTTAATGTTATAGATTGAAAACCAAGTGAACAAGCCAATATGTAAATTAGCACAGACTTACCTCGACCGCGTCCGTTCGCTCTGTGTGTCTTGAAGGCACAACAAGTCACAACGAAGGGCATGTATCGACTCACGCATGCTATTTACTACTGTAGCTAACCCGTGCCAGACTCTCCGCGAGCTACTAGCGGGATACCACGAGTAAAGGCATAAAAAACCCAGCCCATCAATTAGTGGTACCGCACATGTGCAGTTCGCCGAGGGTTTGCACTTTAGTGCTTTTCATTTTCACGGCATATCTCTCGAACGCAGTCGTTTTAGGAGAATCACCCTTTCAATTTTCAGGCTCGCGTAGTTCTTAAGCCGCTGGTATCGCTAATAGGCCGCCTCATAGCCTGTAGTGCCAGAATAAGCGTCGACCTTCGCTGCGCATGCGCGCGCGCCGAGGGTTAACCAAGGTATAATTATTCTTACTATTAGCAGGGTTCAGATGAGAAAACGGCTTTGGTTTGACCTCATCTTCATCAGCAGCAGTAGTGTTGACTGCAGACTCTGTGGTGTTTCAGATGATAGTGATAGCTACCAGCTAAACCAACCAGCAAGAGTGGTAACATACCAGTAGTAGTCTCAGGTACCACGTCACGTGTTGCGGTAGAGTCAGGGAAATGAGCTGCTTCCACCCTCGCAGCTAGACGTGGTAGGTTGACTGAATGACTCCTGAGAGCTTCCACAATGACCCTCCATGTCGGTCTGGGCTGGATTTGCCTCGTAAAGAAAAGAAGAATGTGCAGAAGACGCTCTTTGGGATCCTGGTATTGGCGGTGAATCGCCTCCACCTCGTGTTGCGGCAGTAGCTTGAGCCCGAGCACGTAGGAGTGATTCTGTGCCTCCACAAGCTCATACAAAATGTCCGAGACGTCGTCTGATTTAAACATCTCGTCGATCTCTGGGGCTGCGCAAGCAACTAACATTACAAGTGAATTTCGAAATAAAAAGGTTTGGAATACAGGGATGCCATAAAAAGCAAGGAGACAAGACAGGGATGACCTAGTGAACTTGATGCAGTAGTACAATGGATGATGGCAACATACTTTGAACTGACATCGCTTGTTTGTGTAAAATTTCCTCCACACAAGCCCTATATTGTCGCGAAGTACAAGTGTACTCCCTTGTATGATGCACAGCAGCCACAGCTATGATTTGTTTCATAAGCACATTATCTATAGCTACTTGGCTTTAAGTTGTGACTGCATTGTGTGAAGTCTAAGACTTCTACATTTGCTCAACAATGCTGCGTTCTTGGCCATCTACATACAGAATCCTTTCACCATTGTCCTCGCACTTCACTAAACAAACAGTAAAGGTGGTGACAATATAGGGCTTGTGTGGAGGAAATTTTACACGAGCAAAAAATGAGTGGAGATGAGTAAAAATCCTGAAAATTAAGAAAAAGGCATATAGGGATGGTATAAAAATAAAGGGAGACAAGATATGGATGAGATACATGAAGCATGGTTAATGAACAGATTTGAGCACGCTGACACCCCCAACTCCATCACACAATCCCTATATTGTTGCCTAGGTGAAGTATTAAACATTCAACATTACACAATAGTCTGGCTTGAAAATAAGAAAAATCATGCTACTGAGTACAATAGAGTGGCAAACCAGGCAACAATATAGGGATTGTGTGATGGGGTTGGGGTGTCAGCGTGCTCAAATCTTCTCATTAACCATGCTTCATGTATCCCATCCCTATCTTGTCTCCCTTTCGTTTCTTTGGTGTCTGAGAGAATGGAGACGTGACTAGCTAAAAACCAGTAAGAGAAATATTAGTGGAGCGATGGTGACATACCACCAGTAGTCTTAGGTACCACATCACGTGTTGCGGTAGAGTCAAGGAAATGAACCGCTTCCACCCTCGCAGCTAGTGCTGGTAGGTTGACTGAAGGACTCCTGAGAGCTTCCACAATGACCCTCCATGTCGGTCTGGGCTGGATTTGCCTCGTAAAGACAAAAAGAATGTGCAGAAGACGGTCTAGGGGATCCTGGTATCGGCAGTGAATAGCCTCCACCTCGTATTGCGGCAGTAGCTTGAGCCCGAGCACGTAGGAGTGGTTCTGCGCCTCAACAAGCTCGTCCAAAATTTCCGTCACGTCGTCTGATTCCAACGTCTCGTCGACCGCTGGGGCTGCGCAAGCAACTAACATTATACAGCATATTCACCCTCTGTATTTGCCCACCTTCCGACATCTGTAGAGCAGTAGTTTGCCGTGTATCCTTGCAACGCCCCCTAGTCCCGTCGGCACCGCCCTATAATTGTACGCATGCGCTGGAGTAATTAACCCTCGATGCGCGCATGCGCAGCGGAGGGTTATTGCAGTCGGTCTCTCTGTCTGTGTGTGTGTGTGTGTGTGTGTGTGTGTGTGTCCGTGTGTCCGTGTGTCCGTGTGTCCGTGTGTCCGTCCGTCCGTCCGTCCGTCCGTCCGTCCGTCCGTCCGTCCGTCTGTCCACCGTTTTTTTCGGTAACCGCGGCAACTCTGAGCGTGAAACGTGGACATATTATCATGTAGGAGGAATGCATGGTAAAATAAGATTCTGGAGCGGAGAAGCCCGGGGAAGCTGGTGAAACGGACGGCTGCCGAGGTGGGTGTGCGTCAAATAGAGATCGCTAACCATCGTTGTAGATGCTAGATGCTTTGCGTGTGTGGAGAAGATTTGCTGGTCTGGCTGTATTGATGGTACAGTTGAGTAGGGTCGAGATTGCCGGTGAAGTGAGAGCAGCACACGCCCCAGTGAATCCGTTCAGTGAAGGAGTCACTGAGGTAGCGTAGCTATGCTGAATAGTGGTGAGGAAGACCAGTGCTTTTCACTTTGCTGTAGTATATAGTAGTAACTAGTATTGAACGCGCATGTGGCACAAACTGACGTAGTGTAGTAGCCATTGGCTGCTGAAATAAAGAATAAAGTGGCGAGGGTTATGCACTTTCAAGTGCTTTTCATTTTTGGCTGCAGACTCTTCAATCGCCTATATACCCCATAGGCTACTCTTCTTCAGTGGAGGTTATAAAGAAGAAGAAGAAGATTTTTGACGCATCACACACCGTACGTGTGTGTACATACGTGTACCTTCAACTACGTGCCTTATAGACACACCACATAGAGAGCAGAATGATACAACACACATAAAGACAGTACAATTACTATGACTGAACAAAGGCATATTGCAGCTGTACACATGGTAGAGAGAGAGTGTATGTTTCTGCGCTCGGGACGCCGACAGCTCAGGGCTCCTCGGCTCACTAAATCGCGTAGTTCCCGCGGCTCAGCGTCTAACCTATACATAGACACACCACATAGAGAGCAGAATGATACAACACACATAAAGACAGTACAATAATTACTATGATTGAGCAAAGGCATAATATTGCAACTGTACACATGATAATATGAAGTATGGTGCATAAGTTACTATGACTACAGATGTCAGGGGTGTGTCAATAATACGATGTCTTGTAGATTGTGACAATGATAGCAAGGTTTCCATTGTCTCCGAAATAAGAAGCCATTGCAGTCTCGAATATTAGGCAATCGTTGCTGCAAATAACACTTGATATACTGCAGTGGATGCTGAGAAAGGAAAGAGAGCATGGCATGGAGTTAGCAAATGATGCTTTATACAGTGGAACCTCTGATAAGGGACCCTCCGAGATAGGGACGACCTCTCTACAAGGGACAAATCATCGGTCTCATGGTGTCCCTTGTTCGAAGGTTCCACTGTATATTGCAATGAATAGAGGGCCTCTATTCATTGCAATATACAGTGGAACCTTCGAACAAGCTACCATGACCCACCAGCTCCAACTTGTATCTTATGAATAAAGAAAACAACAGAGGAAGAAAGGGTGCAAGTAAGAAAGGAAATTCAGAGAAAAGAGAAGGTTAATTGCAACTATTGCAAATCCGCACACCTACAACACACAAACACACCTGAAAGCGTTGGCCTCTTTCTCCGTCCCTATCAATTGAACGATGGCGAAGAACTGCTGGTGTCCCTCGTGTCTCTCCTGTTTCTCAAGAACCAACATGAAGTAGTGGTCGAAACAGCATTGTATCATCACCCAGTCGACGGCCCCAGGCAGGTGAATATCTGTCGCCAAGAACACTATGTCTTCTCCGCCGAGTGTTGTAATGGTCTTGTGAGCGGTGAGTAAGTGGTTAAGAACATCGTCAAGTGGACCTTCCAACTTGCAAGAGGTGCCCGGGCAAGGGCATGCGTACGGACGACGTTCACAGTTGGTATACCCTCTCTCATCCCTGCCCTCGACAAAATGGAAACCAGGTGGGTTCAAAATGCAGCATACCTTCTCAACAAAGGTTCATGTTACAATACAGTGGAACCCCTCTCTAAGGACAATAGTTTGCATGGAGATAGAAATGTGAGTTTTCAATATACCATGAGCAATGTATAGATCACAATAGACGTGTTTGTATGATGTAACATGCATGGTGTCATGTTATTTACATGAGTTTTATCAAACAGTTTCAGTTCAAAAAAAATCAGTCGATGGAGACTGAGAAGAAGGTAGGAATACATTACTTCAAATATAAATATTTTTATCAGAAAACCTTTTTGTTTCTGCAGGATTTAGTTTATGGTTTAATGTAAATTATTTTGTTGATGTCTGTGTGATTCGTTGTGGAATTTCTTTATCTCACGGGTGTTGTAATAGTTACTTCTGTGCACTTGTATGAAGTATGATGGTGTATCACACATAATAATATTAATGTTCATAGAGTTGTTTCAGACTTATTAAAGTAGATCACGATGAAAAAATATTATGATGACATGAAAATCGTGATGTGTGAGTGATTATCGCATGGAGGATTTTGGGGGAAAATAGATGGGCCCATAGTACATGTGTTTTGAAGGCTTAGTGACTGATTTTCACCAGGTTTTGAGGCTTTTTTGTATGAAGATAGTGTGAGATAGGACCTGGGCCTTGAATGAGTGGGAGAATCCATTATGATGTGAGTGCCACACATGTTTCAATGTGTATCAAGGCGCCACCATCAATAATAGGAATGCTTGGCCAACACAGCTTTAAAATTAAAACCGGTACGCAGAGATACTAGTAACTTAGAACCCTAAAAATCATTGCGTGCATGTTCCGTCTTCAATTAATGTGAAAAATTCACACATTCATTAAAAAATTTACAATCAGCTGAGCAACAACAAAAAATCTAGTCCATAGGAGTGTGCAAGTTCTCTCTGTGATAGTAGTGCCTAGTATGGAGTCCTGGTGGTTTGAGATGGTTGGCCGGGCTCTGCTGCATTTGACGACATTGGTGTTAGTGTGAACCTGCATTCTTCAACAAGGTCCAGAGACTGCAATCCATTAATATAGTCGGAAACACCGTCCTCCTACTATGAAGACTTGTCTGGGTGACGAATGGACTACTAAACAATCTTTTCTGTTGTGAGGTATTGAGCCAATCTCACCCACTGTCCATCCCTTAGCTGGTGAATTGTGGTAACGTCTGAGCTATTTCCTTTCCCGCCAATAATTACTAGTTCTCCAGCAAAAAAGATAGGTTTTGACCATGTCACTGATAGACGAGGGAGAGGATGCCAGGATAGGGAGAGAGGTGATGTGATTGGTTGATCACTGGATGGTACAGGCCAAACTATAACACCTGAGTAACCACTGGCACCGTATCCTGCTACATGCACGAATTCAAACACACTAAGTATTGTCGAAGAAGGCTGGCGAAGAGGTCTTGGTAAGTCTGTTAGTTCGAACCACTCTCTGTTTCCAATGTTGAATACTTCAACTGCAGTAGTCCAACCAGAATAATTCTTCCCCCCAATCACAATGAGGTAATCAGTACCAAAATATTTGGAAACACTTGTTGCAGGAGAGGATCGTGCAGTGATCATTGGAGGGATATTCCCCAACCCAAAGCTTCTCCCAATTCAGTGTACACAGTTCATTAGTATATTCATCCTCATGCCCATCATATGCTGATCCCCCCACAGCAGTTAGTCTTCCTTCAATAACGACTAGTCCAGCATTAACGTACGGACATGAAGGAAATTCCTGCCATACATCCGTAATCAAGTCGTATCTATAGACCTCGGTTGATCTGCCTGGTACGAAATATGCAAAATAACTGTCGGCTGTTGCAGATCCATAGTACATTGTCCGTGGTGCTCTGCCCATAGGACGAGACTTAAAAGTGAGCTGAAGGGAGAGATCACATCAGCTCAGACTATATTTTTGCAATTCCAAGTTAGAAGAGTATTGCAACATGTTTTTGGACTGTGCATGGATACAGGAATAGAACTCGATATGGTAGGAAGTTGATTAAGATACTAGAAGGAATGCACCCATTTTTGGCGAGGGAAGCAAGCAGTTTAAAATTCTGCATGTATTTTCGCACGTATTTAGAATCACATAAACATTGCCATCCATTACAAAGGGATATGACAAATCCTGCACTCACACGATAAGGGAGGCTCGCTTCGCTTGCCAAGGACACTAAATTATGAGCATGAACTCACAACTGAACATAAAACATGGCACCACTGGTTTGCCGAAAAGACCCAAAAACTCTAGTCTGACAGTGTAAGTGTGGAAAAGTGGTGCAATCATACGCATGGAGAACTGCAGGAATGTATGATAGTGCTAAGTCAAGGAGGCCTATGGCTGACTGGCAGTGTGTTTTGAAGGCCGTGCTACACAAGGCTTTTAATGCATTGTGCTATTCTTACATAGAGCTGTAACACTTAATAGACTCATAGACACAATGGTTAAAACCCTTTGGACGCCATGGGTATGTACATATATCTCATAAGCAGAAATTGATGTACAACATATCAACGCCTAGTATTATAGCCATATATATAAATCCTTATGGACTTATGGAGGCTCTGGGCATATATATGCCAATGGCTTGCTAAGCGTTAAACATCAATTAGTTTACAGTACACTATTTACCTTTCCTTGAATACCTGGTACCAATGCTTGGGATATGGTTAGTGGTTGCTGTCCTGGAAGACCCCATGAAGGATATATTGTGGTCTGAAATAGGAGCAACAGTTAATCACATCCTTGTGACTTGCTTTTCACGCCATAACATTTGAACGGAGTAGTTATACGAATTTTGAAATGAATCCAGTGTAGCAATGAACCTGTTGGTATCACTATTTTGTTGTCTCGTTGCGTGTAGTCGCAGAAAACGTGGTAACAGACAGACAGACAGACAGACAGACGGACAGACAGACAGACAGACACACTTACAAACCAAGTACCGTAACCCTCGCTGCGCATGCGTGCCGAGGGTTAATTACATAGTTCCTTTTATGCCTCAAAGCACTGTCAACTCATAATCCAAACATTCCACAAGCACTCGTTTTCAAGCCCTGTATACACATCTGTGTGTAGCCAGTTGTCTGCTTATGGTGAAGTAGTATAATTGTAAGGGCTAAAAATTTCAAAATGTTACTAAAGATAAAACTAAAATAGGGACCAGTTCAGAATGCAATAAAGTTAACAGTTTCTATGTTTAGCCTTTATATTTTACTGCGACATTCCCTTTAACCTTCAGCGCCCATGCCCAGTAAGTGTTACAGTATACAACCAGAATTGTAGGATAAGAAACTAGCAATGCATAAGATGATTTAAAGTTCACATTACCAGAGGTGTTGCAGTTCCACTAGCTTCATAGGTAGAGGATTGCGGAGAACTGGCTCTAGCCTCTTCGTATCTGTGGAAATAATGTATCTCCATCACTGAATAAACCTGT